ACATCCTCAAAACCTTATCAGGTAGAAAAATTTCTACCATGATAATAAATAACTAAACTTCTTTCCAAAATCCTACTATGGTAGAAAAAATTTTATCATATAAATAAAATATTTTACAAATAGCCTACCATAGTAGAAAAAATTTAACATAATGAATAAGCTCTACCATGATAATTGAAAATACATTTGTAATAAAATTTTACCTAATGAAAAACCATGTAAAACCGATTCATATCAAAGAAAATGATAATTTTTAAATCAGCATTTAGTATAAAAGCCTATTTTAAGGTGGCAGAATCTCAAAATATAATTTTTTTTATATTGTTATGTGAACAAAAAAAATAATTAGAACCATGAGGGACAGACAGGATCCTCATGACATGATATTCAAATCAGTTCAAGAATCAAGAGGGACAGATATGATCCTCTTGATCATAATAAATGTAGTTAATAAAAAGGATTAGAATCTATATGCTCCACAAAATAAGATATGTCCTAAGTTGACACTAGATACATTGTATGATCCAAAATAAGAGACAACATAAAAGATGGTGTCTCATATACCAAAGTTACGCCTTTGGTGCTTTCTCGGCCAAACTTGCTCTTGTAAAAATATTAATGATGGGGAATGAGACTTAAAAATCCCAGTAACTAAAAATTAATATGTAATGATGCATATAGATGTAACTAATCATGCGATTGCTAAGTGGGCATACAAAAACATTTAACCAAACAGTATTTTCAATCAAACCAAACAAGTATCTAATTGCATGATTACACCTTATATCCTCCTTTCGTCATGCCTAAACGCCAAATCACCCGGCCAAAGGTGAGTTGGACCAAGCTACATGCCACTCATTAGGTCCAATGCGGGTTTACCACGTGGTAATAATTAACTAATAGAAATTCCTAATAATATCATATCTTAAAATACCTTGACAAGTCATGCATCATTTAAATATCCAAACAAGAATATAACCGAATAATAATATCTCATTGTAATAAACAAAAATAAATTTTGACCCACTTGGCAATAATTCTAAACAAGTATGTAACAGTATTTATTTTCAATAATTCATAATTCATAATTTTTCCAAACAACAAAACAACACATAACCAATCACATACACACCCATCACAATATATTAATAATGGTTACCTTATTTTTGAACAACAAGTTCTCTTTCACAGCTCCTCTTTCACCACTCTCTTATCATACAATCTACATAATTATTCCATAACATTATATATTAATTTTACATTAAAATTAATAAATGCCTGTAATTAAAGAGTTAGAAAGTCTTAGGCCTAAGATCCTATTAACACTAATTTAAGGTGTATGCCTCATTTAACTTTTCAAATTCTTTTTCTAAAATTATCATACCCTAATAAACTATATTTAAGCCTCAAATCACTTCTAGTATCAACAATTTCATCCTTCTATATTCTAAAAATTTCATCTAAAAAAAAATTAAAAATTTGAAAATTATCCTGAAGCCTCAAATCACCATCTTATAGCTTTAGAAATATATTCATCTTAAATAAATATTTAATAATCAAAGGTTCAGCCCTACATCTCAGATTCAACATAAATTCAACCGTATAGATCTAGAGTCTAACTCAAAAATTCTTTTTATATGAGTTTCAACCTCAAAAAAATATTCTATAGTATTTATTATATTTCTAAACTTCAACTTGTATTTTTAATCCATCATATCATCAGATTAACTATCTTATAGAAAAATTCTAATCAAAATATTTGCTCTACTCTATAAAATAATCATATCATTAGAAAGCTAATATTATTTAGGAAATAACTACAAAATTAATTTTGTAACTAAGTAATTTTTTAAATGCTAATCTAAACAGAAAAGTTAGAGCATACTTGAAGACAAAAGAAAATAAACCCCCTTGCAAGGTAGAGCAACGTGAAAGGAAGAGAGAGATGGAAAAAATAATATAAAAATGGGATTATGGGTCCCACAATTATATTAAAAAACACTATAAGTTTGAATTAATTATTCAAACTCTTGGGCCATAAGTTGCAATTTTTTTAAATTGTATCTTAAAACCTTTTATATTTCCTAACACACGTACTCCCGCCTTTTATACATGGAGACACCTCTTCTCTTCCTATATCTAACCAATGTGGGACTTAGAAAACAACCTTTCACCTTTTTTTTGTTCCTTCCACCTTCTCTTTTTTTTTTTTACTAACACACACACATAAAAAAAATTATTTATATATTCTAAATTTTAAAATTATATTTTAATTAAATATTTCTTATGTGGTGTTAAATTTAAATTTTTTTAATTCATAATTAAATGCCTAACCATAATATTATTTTCGAATAATCTCAAATAATATAAATTCTTATTATTATCATTTTTTTTATCCTCAATAAAACCTAATTTCATAATTTCTTTATTATCTAAAAATTAGGATGTTACAAGCAGCATAAGGCTGATAGCCACACATGATTGTCCACTTCAAAAGCATTGACGATGATAAATTCATTATCAAAATTTTTATAGAGTTTTAGGACATAATTTTATTAATAATCATGTCCTTTTGTATAGTTAGCCCAATCTGTATAGTTATCTTAAACAATACTGTTATAAATGCTGATTATAAGTTTGTAAATGCAGCAAACAGTTTGTTTTATTAATTAAATGTTGACAAATGTTTATTACTATATTGACAAGCTGTGAATTCGTCATTGACAAGTGTTGAGGTACTAGGTGTTATTATTCCTTTTAAAAATTAAAAAATTACAAGAACATATTGACAACTTGCTGTTGGTAATTGACAAGTGGTTATCTCTATATTGACAGGTTATGAATTCGCCATTGACAAATGTTGAGGTACTAGGTACTGTTATTCCTTTTAAAAATCAAGAAGTTACAAGAACCTGTTGACCACTTGTCGTTGGGCATTGATTACAAGGTATCATTTCTTTTACAAGTTATGCATTCGTCATTGACAAGTGCTAATATATTTGTGCAATAAACAAAAAAATAAATTCTAGATACATAAATAAAAAAATACACTTGTCTTTAATATTTTCTAACATGGATTAGGATTTTTGTAAGTCTTGGAGGGATGACTAATCTCATGGCTTCTTCCACAATGATAAGCCTTTTTGTTTTGGAATTGAGATTTTTTACTTTTACTCTTTGGCCTACTCTGAGGCCTTCTAGTTATTGGTGTTTCTAAGAAGGTTTGGGTTAATAAATTTGTCATCGTGAATGTTTTTAGATGTGGACAGTCATGTGTGGCTATTGACCTCATGCTGCTAGCATATATCTTTTGTTGAGCGGTAAACTTGTAGTATATTACATATTTCCTTGGTCATCATTTTGAAAATGCCCTCTATATGGAAAAACGTAATATATGTTATTCAGAAGAACTTGCTATCTTATAGGTTAATTTGCACTGCACACAGTGCATTGATAACACATTCATCCGCTATTGACAACATGTAATGTTGTTTCATAGTAGAGATTTTTCAACAAAACAAACTTGCATTAGATGCTTAAAAATAATATATAAAATGTTCAATATGAAAAAAAATATAACATAGTATATGTTTTCTAGTAGTACTTACATTCTCATAGGTCAACCTACACAATACAATATATCAACAACTATACATAATATATTGACAACACAGGAATACACTATTGACAACATGTAGAATTATTCATATCAAAATTTTTTAATGTATCAATGTTGCACCAGATTATTCCATACCTATTAGCTATGCAAATCGATTGATCGCGGGTGTATCCAGAAAGCATTATCCTACCCTTAAATAATAATGAACTTATTAACACGCAAGAAATTGTTTACTTGTTCAACAATCACTATTTTGTTTTCTGTCGATGAAATCTTGCAGTCGCGGATGAAACACTCTCAACTCGCTTAGATGAAGACAATGTCGGTAATCATAAACATGAGAAAGTAAAATTACCTTATCGTGATCAACAATCATGAATATGCAGCAATTTTCAATATCGTTGATCATGGGTTTTATGAAACGTGCACACACAAACAAAATCTCTTTTTTAATGCTAGACGGCAAATCAATAAGTTCATTTTCAGACTTATTCACCATTGAGTCTATGAGAATCTAGCAGCTATTTCATGAATTTATGGGACTTTAGCTTATTTTAAATGCTTCCATGGGAGTTGCGTGATCTTCCCTATGAATAATCTTTTTAAAAGAAATTGATAATCCTTTTTATAAATAACTTTGAATAAAAAATAAATAATTAACTATCTTATCCAAATTTTATTCTTTCACAATTTTTTATAAAATAGAAGAAGAAAAATTACTTATAAAAAAGAAATTATTTTGAAAGTAATGTTAGGTTGAATTGAGAAATTTTTTCAGGCAACGTAAATGTTCCTTATTCAACCGCTTGCGAAATGTGTTTTGTTCGTCCCTTTGACATCGATATTCGATATTGGAAAAAACGTGTCCGTTCTGTCCGAGCTTTGGTTTGGATGTTCATCACAATAATAAAATCTTGATCATATAAATTTTAATTTAAATGATTTAAATTTAAATTATTAATATATTTTTATTTTATATTTATTAAAATAAAAATTATAAAATAATTTTAATAAATTTTTTATTTTTAATATAATCTAAATTTAATTTAAAATATCTAATTTAATATCAAAATTTTTATAATTATATATATATTTTAATTATTTAAATATATTTTGTATAGTTTAAATAAACATCAGATTAAATTTAGATTTCGTGGAGAATATTTAGATAGTTAATATTAAATATCTTTAATTATATTAAAAATAAAAAATTTATTAAAATTATTTTATAATTTTTATTTTTAAAAATATAATATATAATAATAATTAAAATCTGAATCATTCGTGGTTCAAGTCTTGTCACGTTGACGAGCACCCAAATCGATCCGTTTTGTCCTAGCATAGCATACCTGTGGCTTATGAGTTATGAGACTATGCTGAATGTGCATCTTCATCTTCTCTTTCCGCTTATCCTGTTATGCATCTTAAGCCGCACCCGCACGGCACGCTTCCCAATTTTAAAACGGCTCTGCTAGCGCCCCTAGCTCCTCCTATTTATACTTGCCGAGGGTGGCGATTTCCAGGAGTAACGCTAAACGAAAAAACCATGGGAAACGAAACTGAACACGGAGCTCCGGCGACGGGGGCTCCACGTAGTAATCCTGCTACTGGGTTCAAGCTTGTTGGGTTCAAGAACTTCGTCCGAAGCAATCCAAAATCCGATCGATTCAAGGTAAAGCGTTTTCACCATGTCGAGTTCTGGTGCTCCGACGCCACCAACACTGCTCGCCGCTTCTCGTGGGGTCTCGGCATGCCCCTTGTAGCTAAATCCGACCTTTCAACTGGCAACTTCACTCACGCTTCCTATCTCATCCGTTCTGGCGACCTCTCCTTCGTCTTCTCTGCTCCTTACTCGCCATCCATCGCCGCCGCCGAGCACCTCGAACCCAACTCGACTGCCTCTATTCCCACTTTCAACCGCGAATCCTGCCTCGCTTTCATGGCCTCCCACGGCCTAGCTGTTCGGGCCATTGCAGTTGAAGTCGAGAATGCAGAAATTGCATTTAATGCCAGCGTTGCCCATGGCGCCAAGCCATCGGCCTCCCCGGTGCTCCTGGATAACCGAGTTATTGTATCCGAAGTTCTCCTCTACGGCGATGTAGTGTTGCGATACATTAGCTACAACGATCGGTCCCAAGTATCAGACCCGAGCCCTAATTATTGGTTCTTGCCCAAATTTGAACCCGTGGAGGAGCTCTCGTCCTATCCGCTGTTGGATTACGGGATTAGGCGCCTCGACCATGCGGTGGGTAACGTGCCGGAACTGGCTCCGGCTGTGAATTATGTGAAGGAATTTACTGGGTTTCACGAGTTCGCCGAGTTCACAGCGGAGGACGTGGGCACGAGCGAGAGTGGCTTGAACTCGGTGGTTTTAGCGAACAATGATGAAATGGTTTTGCTGCCTCTGAACGAACCAGTGTTTGGGACGAAGCGGAAGAGTCAAATACAGACATATTTGGAGCACAACGAAGGAGCAGGGTTACAGCATCTAGCGCTTGTGAGTGAAGACATATTCAGGACTTTGAGGGAGATGAGGCAGAGAAGTGTCGTAGGTGGATTCGAGTTCATGCCTTCGCCACCTCCAACGTATTACAAGAATTTGAAGAATCGAGCTGGTGATGTATTGACGGATGAGCAGATTAAGCAGTGTGAGGAGCTGGGGATTCTGGTAGATAGAGATGATCAAGGAACTTTGCTTCAAATTTTCACTAAGCCTGTTGGAGATAGGTAACTAGTCTCATCCCTCTTCTTGTTTGAGAATAACACAGTAGTGCTTTTTTCTTGGGGACTGAATTTATCTTGATGTTGGTGATTTATACAACATTTAATTGAAAGAAGGAAACTTGCATTAGCAGAATTGTCAGGTAAACTAACCTTTATCTATGTTGAAAAGTTCTACTATGAAGCACTAATACCAACGTTATATAGACACGTGATGCAATAAGATGTGCTGTATTAAAATACTGTTTATGAGTGCTGGAATTTGTAGCATGTGTATAATTTAGAGAGACAAAAAGAGATAAAGAGTGCAGGGAGAGGAAGCAAGTGCCGTCTACATTTACTCTTTTTGGATCAATCTCTTTGATTGTAAGAGCACATAACTGTACAAACTTTAGTGCTTCATAGGAGTGTTGGGATGTGCTTGGCCGGAATAAAGTAGGGTGGCAAGGATCCTAGAGGAGATACAGGCGGTTTGCGAATATTGTGTCTTGATAATATCTGCTATTTCAAGCTTGTTCCAGTCATCTAACACTTTTTTATATGTTACTTATCAATATCTATTCATCATTCAACCCTCTGAACTTCTCTATTGGATGAAGATTATGTAAGATGACACTGAGTTAAAAGGTTTTTTCTGTGTTGAATGGGCAGGCCAACCATTTTTATAGAGATAATTCAGAGAGTTGGGTGCATGCTGAAGGATGAGGAGGGGAAGGTATATCAAAAGGGTGGATGTGGAGGCTTTGGAAAAGGAAACTTCTCTGAACTGTTCAAGTCCATCGAAGAATATGAAAAGACACTTGAACTTAAAAGAGTAGCAGAACAAACTCCTGCTTGAAAGCTCATAGTGATTTCAGGACGAGGTATTTCTTGAAGCTGTAATCACCGTGTTACTGTGTAAACAATTGGCTTAAGGAAGAATAAATACTATATGAGCACTGTCTTCACTTCTAGAAATGATGGAATATGAATATATGATATTCTGTGTTAATAGACAGTTATTTCATTTCTTGCAATGTTTATGAAGAAATATACGAACTGCCCACCTTACTATATTTATAGATAAACAAATACTGCAATTTGGATTGTATGATAGGAGTCACGAGAGATTGGGAAATAAATTAATCTGACGTGCTACTTAATTAGCACTAGTCCGCAAGTTGCTTAGAATAGTTGATGGAGTACATGCTGTTTGCCTTTGGAGTACATTCTGGTAGCACCATGTGAATTTTTTTTTTTAGGGGGGGGTACACACAATATGTAGAAGTTTTTACTTGTTCCATAGTGTTTCTAATCTTATTTCCGATAAAAATAGCTAACGCATAACAGACCTTTTCCATCTTCCTTACAATCAACCGGAAAAAGTCTGAGCGGAATGCCTCAAGAGTCTTGAGATTTTACATTCATAAACTTCTAGCTTGTGAGGGAGACCAAAACATTATGGAAGAGTTTCTGGAACAAAATTGCGACATTGGAGTGAAAACACCAGAATCGGTAAAATTGCCAGAAAAATCGAAGAAAAGCAGTAACTTTGGGTTGCATTGATATGTTGTCCGTCAACAAGGAAATTATTTGAAAGTCAGCTTTGTCAATCAACATAATTTATAGCTGTTGATATTACTAGACTATACTTGAAATTTACCTTAATGGTTTAAAATTTGCGAGTGAAAATAGTCCTTGACGTGGTCAAGAATTCAATCCTCACCAATCTCATTGAGTGTGGTGAGCTTGTTCGATGTTTATGGTAATACTATTCACGTGTTTTAACAGATAAACCTTGTGTTGAAAGTTGAAATTTTTTTATAAAAACATTCACGTGCCTTCACTTAACATATAAATTGTGTTGAATCTTAGAATGGTCATCAACAATGCCCTACCTAAACTTTTATTTTCATCATTTGTATGCATCCCTAACCTTTTCTTTCGCTCTGACTACGGCTGCTTCTAAGATCACATCATGTTCTCTAGCTTTTGCCAGCTCGGATCACCACATGTTAGTCCCTTAAATCTGAATAGGAGCGCGTCTCTGCTTAACTGGTACCTTTCTTTACTTAAGCCCACAATCTTTTCTTCAGACTCTTTTAGCTACCAAAATTATTGAAGATAAAATGGACACATCAGAGAATTTCAGTGTCTGGCTGAGGGTTTGTCATCCATAATTTGTTACTGAAACTCGTTCGAGTTTACACCATTCAATACACTAAAAAATTTTACGCCATTCAATGCACTCACGGAGAAATCTTTAAGGTGCACCATGGTAGCATATCTTCTGCTTGGAAATCTGAAGTTGCATCTCTGACTCTTCTTTTCTCCTCCAAAAACCGTTTTCCATTTCCATACATGCAACTTGCCTATGCTCATCCATGGTATGAGCTGCAGGTGCTACTCTTCAGCAGTGTCAGATGGTTTCTCTGCTGTCTCTGTTACTGTAGAATCACATGCTCGAATGCCACAAGCCAAATTCTGCAGTTCCTCATCCTTAACTTTCCTGTACAAAGTGTAGCTCCATGAAAACCGAGTCCAATGCTATACAGAGCAACATAGACACAAGAAGAATAAGACGTCCATATGCACACTTAAACAACTTTTCTTGGTTTATATACCTAATCCCCCATTCTTCCTTAACATCTTCAGCACTAGGTTTGTTTTCCTTTCTAGTTACCTTGAGCAGCACAAATATACAGAGCTGTGTCTCAGACTACTTTAGTAAGTACAAAATTCTCAGGCATCATTTGGATTGATAGATTTGGATTTGAATTTTAGGTTTAAAATTTCACATTTCAAAAGAAGAAGAGAGATAAGTTGAGACTCGAAGTGAAAACGGAAAATTAAGAGTCATGGGTTTAACTCTAATTTTCAATTGGAAGAGAGACAAGAACATGAGCTAAGAGAAGGTGGAAGCACCAACAATGAGAATACAAAGAAAACAATATATTTGAAATGACTGAAATTTTGGTATTAAAAAAAAATTAAAATTACAAATAAATTTAATGATAGATAGATTTGAACGGAGGGAGGGAATGTAGGCTAAGCAACAGCAATAATTCAGAGAAGGAACTGATCAGGGCCTCACTGTATAACGTGAATGATGATGAATGACTCAGTATAACAGGGGGAAAGAGGGAAGGAAAAACAGGACTCAATCATAATTTATACCTTCATGACCGGTAAATCATCCATAGGACCATTAGCTCGCGCATTTCTAAGAGAGCTTTACGTTGCTGCTTCATTTTCTTTAGAGCAATCCAAATTAAAGCAGTTGAGTTGGCTGCATCGACAGCTGTTGCAACAGCTCCTAGCTTGGCAGAACCATTTTACCTCAGAGAATTCACAACCTCTTTATGTGCTTTGAGAACCAGCTGAGTTGCACTAATGTTTGAGGAGACAAACATATAGTTACAATTTACATTTACATATGGGAAAATTTTACTGTGGTCCTCTTGACCAAACTTATCGACAGTCAAACCTTTTAAAATTTTGAAATATCAATTTAGTCCCTGTGGCTTCTACTTGGGTTAAATTGAAATTAAGTTTTTAAAGAAAATAACACAAACAATCCCAATCCCTTATGTCAATTGTTTATTCACACAACATTTGTTCATTTTCTTTACGCAAGTTATTTATGTGCTTAGCTTCACTTATTTATATTCATAGTGATATTATGCTATTAGTAAAAGTTGTAAATTTTCCCTGCTTTAGTTGTTTTTTTTTCATATATTAGTTGTTTATTTTGTTTACATGAGTTATTTTTATACCTAGTTTCATTTATTTATATTCATATTGGTGTTATGCTATTAATGATAGCTGAAAATTTTTCTTGCGTTAGTTATTAATTTTTCATACATCAATTGTTCATATTTCCTGCATGAGTTATTCATGCGTTTAGTTTCACTTGTTTATATTTATATTCATGTTATGCTGTTAATGAGAATTACAAATTTCCTCTATGCTAGTTGTTTTATTTTCTATACATTAGTTGTTTATTTTCCTTTCCCACCTAATGAGATAAGGCTTTTTGTTATTTATTTTCCTTATGTTAGTTATTTTTATTTGAGAGGATTGGGGTCATTTGTATCATTTTTCTCAAAAAATTAATTTTAATTTAACTCAAGTGGAACTCATAGGGATTGAATTGATGTTTTAAAATTTTATAGGATTTGACTATCAATAAGTTTGGTTAAGGGTTATAGTAAAATTTTCCCTTTATATATTGTTATAACGACGATAATATGAGATAGAGGTGTACATGAGCTAGGCAGGGGTTCACCCTAGCCTGATGCCCGACCCTATATACATATTGAGGCATTGGGCCGCCCGAATGCTTAGGCTGGATTTTTAAATATAAAAAAAATTATTAAACAATACAAAATTTAATTAAAAATATTTAAAATTGATTATTTATAAAAATAATGTTGGAATTTAAAGTAATAATTTTTTAAATTGTATATAATTAAAAATTATTTATTATTTTCACATGATAGAAAGTAAAACAATCAATTTTAAATATTTAAATGATTAAAAATTAAAATTATAAAACATATTCATGATGAACATAAAAAATAATATAATGAATAAGAAAATTAAATAAAAATAATATTATAAAATAATTAAGTTTTGACAAAAAAATTGAAAAAATAATATAACAGATACATATTTTGGACTTGGTAGGGTTGACCCTAGCTTGGTACCTGGCCTGGTTAGCCCAACTGGCTCGAGCAGAATCGAGTTGACTGGACTTTTGGGCCACCTGAACAGCCCTAATGAAATACCTGTGAATAATAAGGAAAAAAAATGGTGACAAACTGGCTTAACCCGTTTGTCTGTTAAAATTGATGGGTTGGGCTAACAAAAATCGAGCTTTTTTTTTTTTTTAAAAAGGGATAGGTTAGCCTGTATGTTGTCTTGCAAAAATCGCAGACTATACAACCTGAGGGTTTGCTTTTTTGAAAAAAAAAAAGATTATTTTCATTAGCTATTGTTTATTAGTACTTTTTTTTTTGGGGGTGAAACTCTTATTTTTAAACAAAAAGATGTTACCTTCCCTTAAGTTTGTTTCCTTTGACCAAAAAAAGATTATCAGTAGAGCTTCCTGTCATGGATTGAACAAACCTTTCTAACTTTGACAATCTAAGAAATGAAGTAAAGCTTTTCCTTACACTGTTAATATAGAACGACGTTTCTGCTTCACAGTAAGAATTAGGATCATTCATGTGCATGCAATTAATTAACTCAGAATATTTTATGTATGTAAACGCTATTTGCTTTTGGAGTATGTTCTGGAAGAAATGTCTAGTTAAGATTTTATACTTGTTCCTCACCGTTTCTGGTATACTCATCTCCAAAAAAAACATATGGCTATATAACAATCATTTTCCATCTTCTTGATTTCAATCAACGGACCAGTAGAAATGAGCTGAAAGCTTAAGTTGGATGGTATTGGATGGATTAATAAAAAAAATAAAATAGACTAAAATAAAATTATATATCAATAGAGGTTAGAATAATAGAATTATGATCGTATGTAAGAAATCTCTCTTAGATCCATTTTTAGTGCTCATTGTAAAATCCCAGTTTTTAATTCCTTGATTAATTAAACCTAATTAGGGTAATTAAGTAAGTTGAGGTGGTGTGTGGCCAGGGAGGTCTAATAATCATGTTTGATTGTATTCCAACCCTAATTGTGGGTTCGGTATCAAGTCGAGCTACTTGGATATCAAGAGGAGAAGAAAATGAAGAAGAGTTAGTGTTGCTATGCCACATGTCACGGCGTGGAGATCATTTGCTGCGGCGCACAAATACTTTTGATTTAGTGAGGACCTCTCTATGCTGGCGCATGGCCATTTTTTGCTAACATTAGTTGTGAAAATGAGACAGAAATAGAGAGAAAGAAATAGAAAGTGAAAGGGACGAAATAAGTAGAGCTGAAAAAATGGGCCGAGCTTGTAATGTTAGCCTGTTTAAGCCCAATAATTATTAGGGTCGGGCTTGAGTTTTAGAGTCTCAAAATAGAATGCGTACTTATAAGGGTAAGCCCTAATGGGCTGAGGGCTTAAACGGGTTGGCCCTATACGGCCAAGGGCTAGCCCATTTAGGCCCATTTATTTATTTATTTATATTTTAAAATATTATTTATTATGACAATATTATTGATATTTTTAATAATGTTTCAAATATTTAGTTGTTATAGTAGTTTTTTTAGAATTAAAATTTACATAATACTTTAATTTGTTTAATATTTTTTTGATAAAGTTTGATTTGTTTAATTCTAGACAATGATATATCTGGACAAAAAAAGTAATTTTTTGATCTAGTTTAGATTCTAGACAATAATGTGATTCATATTACGTATGTGTGTTAATATTTTTAAATTATATTTTTTTAATAATAGATTATTTTTATATTACATGACTTAAATTAGGAATTTATAAATTTTAATGTTTTATTGTTTGAAATAAGGGAATTTTTGCATAATCAATATGTTGTTAATATTAAGAATTAAAATGTTGTCTATGTGATTTAATAATGAAGTAAGATTTAATATTGTAATGGAATGAATGAATTATTTTTAGTTTTAAAAAATCAAAACAAAAGTAAAAGGGCTTGAAGCCCACAGGGTTGGCCCTAAGCCTGTTATGTTTAGGGCCGGGCTTTAGATATAAGGCCCTCAAAGGAAACTCGAGTTTAAACGGGCTGATCCTTTTAGACTCGAGCTCGTCAAGGGCTAGCCCTTTAAGGCTAGATCAGCCCGTTTTTTCAGCTCTAAAAATAAGCTCTGTTAGGATTTACTTGTGGATGATATTGGGAGTATTTTGAAGGCTACAAATACACAAGGTAAGTATCACACCTATTAATTTCCCCATTTCTTCCACATTTATGAGTTTATGGTTAGGGTTTGATAATAGAAGTGGATTTTCGATCTATATAAATTATAGATATGAATTTATTGACTTAAATGGAGTTAATGGGAGTAGATTAGAGTATCTAAATCTAGATATAATAAATTTTGGTATCTTGGGTTGTTGGGCACCATTGATATCCAAAATTTGCATTTAATATGGGTAGTTGAAAAAATGTGATGCCATTAATAAGAGTTTAATGGCTCATTAATGCTATTGGGGGATTGAAGATTGATAATAAATACAATGGATAGGCTAAAATTCATGTAGAGTAGGCATTGGGAAATTTAGAAGTGAAGATTGAGGGTTTAATGCTTGAGTTAGTAATGTTGATGAAATTTAACTTAGTTAATTGTAGTTTTGGCTCTTGGTCACCTATTTGGCTTGGAAATTCAAGCTTAGAAGCTAGTAGATTGAGGGGTAAGCCTTTAACCTCTTAGAAGTTTGAGATAACTGGGAAAATTCTACTTTGAATAATTATATTTTAATTGATTGTTAAATGTAAATTATGAATGTTACACGCATGGGATTGATTTTCAATGTAAAACCATGTGTTAGTTTCAATGAGTGTATGAAAATTTGAATGTGTATAATGTTATTTTTGGCTGGAAATGCAAAATGTGAAGTCAAGAGGGTTTTTAAACTATGAACATGCTTATGCTTTTAGAAAATGAATGTGATGTTGAGTAGAGGTAAATGTGTGTTAATGATAATGGATTTTGAGATAAGTGAGAATAATGATGAGAATCCATATTTGGGTAGCGCACGGTTATGAGCCCAACATGATTGTTGTGATAATGACTAAATGAAAATGAAAATGTGAAAATGAGTGAGAATTGATTATGGCATGATCAGTGGCAGGAGTTCACTTAGAGATTGGGAGTAGAGAAAAAAAATCTATATGGTATTTAGGTTGGCCTCCGGTGCATAAAGTTATAACCTTGTCTCACAGTTTGGAGAGGTATTGTTCCATAGTTTGTCGAATGACTAGAACCTAACTATCTCCATTAGTTCAATGAGAAGAATAATCTAGGGTATGAAACACCCTAAAATTCAAGAATGGAAAAAGTCGTGGTCCGAGGGTAAGTCATGTGATCTTTGATCGGGTCACACCTCACGATTGGTGAGCTTAGGTAGTCTAGTCACACAGATGGAGCCCTATTCGGTGTTATAGCCTACGGTTTTAGTCTGAGGAAATAAGGAGGGTATAAGTTAGTTGATCATTGCCTAAATAAATATATGATGTGTCACACGTGTTAAGTTGTGGCAAGTCGCGTGAATAATTGGTCATGGTCACATATTTGAGAATATGGTGACAATGCACATAGTATATGTGAGATAAAGATGTTATTGAATGAGAAATGACAAGTTATGATATGTGTGAGCATATTTTACATACTTGATTTCATATGCATATGCTTAGTTTATAATTGATATATAACTACATAGGGTAGGTTTTACCTTGGTTACTGAATGGCTAGATTCATCCCTTCATTTAACACTTTTCAGGCTCTAGCTCTGGTGCTGAGAGGGAGAAGACTCAAAAGGTTAGGAATTAGTATATTCCTATTGTATGCTTCTAGTTTAGATTTATTTTGTGTAATAGTATATGATTGTTAATTCTAGATTTCATGCCATCACATTTGCACTATGTTGTTATTACAAACGTCTGATTGGTATTTTGGGCCTTGAGAATTTGTGTATGTTGTGATATATATGTTAATAGGGCCAAAATACTAATATAAGTGTAGAAATGAAGATTTGAACATGTTTTGTTTGATTTGGGTGCAATAAAATGGAAAATTGCCTCCCCCTTTGTTTTTGTAAAAGGGGTTGAGGAGTGAAATTTTGTTCTATTGTTGTTTAAGTATGTGTGACATGTTATATTGGTAGTCCTAGGTCTAATAGATATGATCCAAGTGTTAGGAAAGGCTTTTAGCACTTGTTGAGAGTTTTGGACACCTATTTTGTGTGAAAGTTGTGAAAAGCAGTCGCATTGTGTTTGGGTGTTCAACTTCCTAGTGTGACTTGTTTTGAAAGTAAAATCCATGCCATTAGCTAGTTTGTGTAAAGAGTTTTTTATAGACACCTAGATCACGTCATTTGGACATCGGATGGAAAATCAAGGTGTGTCGGAAGTTTCCCCAATTTTATTGTCAAATGAGAACAGAATTTACTGATTTTTTGTGCAACATGCTGCGGCACATGGCACTGGAGCCACAGCATGTGGCATAGAGAACAACACGCTACGGCGCAGCGTGCACAAGTTGTGGCATATTGCCCTATGTCACAACATATGTTTTATTTTTCAATTGTTTTCGAGTTCTTTCACTCTTCTGAGGTATCTCATGCTTCCGTAACTTATTTTTATTCTAATTTAAGGGGTTATGATAGTTTTGAACTTATTTTGATTATAAAAATTTGAGATCCCTTGATTTTTTGATTACCATGAGTTTAATGGTTAATTATATTTAGTAGAGTGAGATACTACACTCATCACCTTAGTGCTCATCAGAGGTGATAAAATTTGAATCGTTTAAATTTAATTTGAACGGTCCAAATTTAACTTTTTTATTTTTATTTATTAAAATAAAAATTTATAAAAAGAAATAATACTTTTAATAAATCTACATATAATGGCATGTGAGAAAATAAAGAAAATGTGTGGAAAGTTGGGCACTAAATGTGGCCGCATCTTCTAAAGCATATTCAAACCTTGATCTATTACATTGTTAAGAACTAGTTTTTTTTGTTAAAACCAACCCATGGTAGTGATTGATAGGCTTAGATTTTCAATTAAAGCTTTTAAAGTTTTTTGGGTAGAGGAAGCCCATACATTAGAATAAATAAAGCTTTTAAAGTTAATCAAAATATGTAAGTTAGTTATCTTTTCTCTCTCTTTTTATGGTTATTATTTTCAATTTAATGTACTTTATTTTAAGTCTCTCTAGTTTCTTTCGTCTTTCGTAATCTATATATGATTACAAGTTTAAGATCACATTACTTTCTTACGCTTCGTCGGTGTTTACGCTATTGTTTTATAGTTAGTTGTCACGACACGACACAAATAAAAACAGGGCGTTTGAAGCTGTAAAATGAGAGAGAGTCACATATAAAGCTCTCATAATCAAGATAATTATCCTTAAATCCTGATAAATTCTGAAAATGCTTTATAAGCCCAGAAACCTTATATGCAATTAATTGCACATAAGGCCTTCGGACCTGCAGAGTACTTTAAAAATAAATCTATTGAATCTTAAAAATAATTATTCATTTGTCGGGACCTGTTATGCAATTCTCTCACAAATAATGGGTGTTTGCAATTTCTCATGTGGTTATACCTATAGTCAAAAGTCAAAACACGCGTAAGCTGAAAGATTGGTGAACAGATATAAGAAAGTCACTTTTTGTATTCCCATAATGGAATGGCGAGTTTGTTGGCGATTGAATGATTATTAAATGGAAGAAAATTCGGAATTGGTTTGCAGCTTTTGATGAAAATTGCGAGCATTCTTGCTGGACATTTAGGACTGTTCTCTCTATCAATCCAACATGTCTTTCTTATCTTTTTCTTTTTTACTGTTTACAGAACCCACAGCTATGACCCCCCTGTTCTCCCTCACTTTGTTGAATATTTTAGAAACAGTCCTAAATTCTATTTTTACCCTTATTGATTAAAAGAATGTAATCATCATCATTATCATCAATCCCTGAGGCAATTTACGAAAAGGCTCATTTAAAAGACTCCAGCAAACATGTCAAACCATTACATAATATTGCATGACACTTAATCCTCTGAATATTCATGAATATATTGTGACGATATATTATTAAATGAAATTCGATTGAGATTTGTAGATATTATTATGATATATTATTTATTAAGATTCAAAGAATATTTTATATTCATTAGTTATGATTAAAATTGATTTATACACACACACACAGAGGTTGATGGTAAGCCTTTCATGTCAATACTAAATGATACTTTTTCAAGTCTTATATCTTTCTTTTCTGATTTCTTTCATACATGAGTCATTGATTAAGTGAACTTTTATGATTATATATCAACCTTTAAATAATGTTACATTGCACTTAATTAATCCTCTGAACTTGCATGATAGGCTGTTTTTGTTTCTTGTACTCCCGTTACTCGAACCAGCAAAAACTCACATTTTTATTCGTTAAAATTTGTGACTAAGAAGAACCTCGGAGTGGCAGCATCATGAAAGCTGGCCGATTTATTCAACAGTTCATATTAGCACAAATTCATGAAAAATTAGAACAATAGCGAATTTATGTCCACTTCATATCATATCCACAAAGACGAAGAAAAGGTTTTAGAAAATGTCTTATAGAATAAGAGGGAGCATGCCTCAATGATTTTGCAAGGGATGTCAATTATTGTCAAATTATGCGATAACTACATAAGTCAGACACAGGATTCCTGGATTTTATAGTTTGACCATCATTACGATATTCTGGCGACAATTTGATCATTTCTATGTTTAAAATGCTATTAGGATTTCATGGTTAATAATTATATTGTCAATGTCAACTAGAATGTTTTTTATTTTGGTGAAAACAATGTCAACTAGAATTACTGTAGGGAGTACTTTCAAAAAACACATTTTCCTACCTATGTAAGTCTCCGAACAGCTTTTTAATGTACGCCCTCCGCTCCTATTTATAATCAAGGCAGATTAAGTTTTCCTTTTTATCTTCTATGTTGGTGAGAGAAAGAGTTTTAATTGGGATAAGTGTGTATATAAAATTTTTTATATAATTAATGAGTCTTAAAAAAATTTGTTAATCCTGACAAAACATGTTGACAAATTTTTTTATTAAGGATGTGACCAATTGTAGCAAGCATGTCATATGTTGTGTCTCTCTTTTGAAAATGTTTCTATGATGAAATGAATGAAAAAATTGCAGGAATCCGCCACTTAATTATATATATATAGAAAAAACTTATATATTTAGCTTTATATATATCTAAGGTACTTAAACTTAAATCAAAATATGTGTATCTTTTAGAGCTTTTTTATTCTACAATAAATTCTTGTTATTAATATTATTAACACATTAAAATTCATATGTCTTGATTGGATTGGATAAAAAAATATATCAGACTAAGTATATAGGTCTTGCACATTATTTATATGCCACGTAACAAGGTAGTATATTAAATGGGAAGCAATTGCCAAGCAAATATCAGACAAGACAACGATATGTTGGCTATCAAACTCCGTTAATTGTTGGATTATGCTCTTTGGCTTTTGGAACCTAAGAAAACGTCACATTACACGTATTATATATGTGAGCTTGTGTTGGGTGGACGCCCAGAGAAGTTTGGAGAAATAAGATAGAAAAAGCTAAGACGATAGCATATATAGTTAAAAACAGAGATGAGTACAGATACGTTAAACAGAGCTGAAAAAGGAAAGGATCGGACACTCACCAAAACTGACAAGACACAAGAAATACATATAGGGAACAACACGTACGAGACTTTTTGATTCTACACGAGTATCGAATCATAAGCAATCATGGAGATGATGAGTTGTGAACACGAATCATCAGCATAGCTTCGCTGCCAACTTCTCGCTCTTCATCCTCAATGGCGCCGTTACCTGCTTCCTAATAAGCATCCAAGAGTACAGAGGTTATAATGAGTACGTATAATGAAGAGCAGAAATTAAAGGAACAAGAAGCGTTTGGATTGCTTACAGTGAGAGGTAGGTTGAGATCGATGTGAAGAGGCTTTGATTGTGCTGTTATTTTGGAGAGAGTGTGATGAAGTTGGGTGATGAATGCGTGAAACCACACGGCGGACTCGTGACCGGCCATTGCTTTCATGGCATTGGCTTTGGTGGAGAACTCAGTCTTGGCTGCATCAGAAACTCCCAGACGCTGCATGTACTCCACTATCACTTCATTCATCTCTCCCACTCCTTCTCCTGAGCCATGAATGCTAATATGCTATTATCTCCTAGCTTGCAAGACGCCACACAAGTGGGTTGCTCCTTTTATAGTAGTGATTTTAAAACCGGATCGGACCAAACTGGATGGTTAGACTGGTCTGAATTCCAATTTGATCGATATATGAAAATTGTTTTGGAGGTTGAGTTGTTTCAGACTGAAAACTGCATCCATTTTTCAAGAATCGAACCGTTAAAAAAAGCTTATTATTTTTTATTTAAGTTTTTTAGGAAATGGCTAATTTTTTAATCATTTGATGTTATGTTATGTTATATGATTTGTTAAGTTATGATAAACTTAAAATATTTAATTTTTTTAAGTTAAATAATAATTTTATATTTATTTCTTATATTTAGGCTATTATATATATATATATATATATAATTTTTTAATTTAATTATCACGTCACCGGTTTGACCATTGATCCAACCCAATTGAACTATGTGAATTGTAAACTACTGACCTTTCTAGTTTAATATCCGATCTAATTTTAAAAATATTATTTTATAGCAGCAGGGGCCATAGATTTTTGGCATTTGTGAGCCAACAATGCTTGATTGATGTTTGTTAATGTGAGGACCCTATAAATTTAGGGATGAGGATTAGGGGAGCAATGCCAATTTTTGAGAGACAAAAAGAACTCAAAGTTAATCTATTAATTATATAACGACTTTGAACCGCAGAAGAAGAAGTGAGGGATTGAAAGGGTTCGTTTTTAGAAATTAATAATAATAAATTAAACCCCTGCTTTAAGGTTCGAAGGAAAGTTTTGTGAAGCTAGCTGTATGGCATTTGAAATTGGATTTGGATTCGTTGTGCGACATAAATCTACCCACTTAATGAGCAAACTAATTATAGTTATAAATTTTTAT